TACCACAAAATACAGACCAAATACCATTTGAAATTTTCAAATGTAATTCGCATTCAAATATTTGGCGGAAGACAAATAACTAAGGCACTATACGTTGATCGTTTAAATTCAAAATTTTCAAAAAAACTATCGATTTTTTTTGCTGGAAAGGCCCGTTTACCGAGGGGGGCCGAAAAACTCGGTAACCACGCGGTAACTCGAAATATCGAGCGGTAACCAAAACCTTGCTTGTCGTTCGTCAAGATACATCCGTTTGAGCGACAAGTAATTCCAGACGAAGGAAGTATGACGTAAGATGTATGACTGAGACACAAGTCGCATACACAGCTAGCGTATCCTACGACAAGCCAGTCATGGAAAGACCAACCATGCCTAGAGGGTGCCGAGTCTGACTGAACTATCTCTGCTACTGTTGTGACAATGTAGTGCTCCCTATTATCAGGGTATATGACATCAAATTTCATAACATTTTTGCAAATCTAGTCAAATAGAAGTTGTGCTGCTTAGCATGCCACTGGGGTGAATTCAAGGCGCAGTCGAGTAACCATTCATTCCCTCGCTGCCGAGTGCTCGGAATCCTATGCACGAGTAGTTAGTTGATTGGTAGGATAGTCCTTGCACAAAACGGTAAGTGGCATCATAGGCATATTCCTATGAATCAAACTTTCCATAAAGAGAGAACAAAAAGTAAGCTTCACTTTCAAAAGAAGGCAGGAAAAAGAAAGGGACATCCTCAACTGCAAGGAGGAAAAAGAGAACAATACTAAGAAAATGGCATGGAGTTCCTCTGAGTAAAGCAAAAGGAAAAGCAAGGCTACAATACATACAGTCCAAAGGACGGCAACCTTGGTGATGCTAAATCAAAGAGACTGGCTGGCTGCTGCTTGACGAAAATCTGTGTCAAAGCTGCAATAAGGTTGCAAAACTTGGGTGTGCTTGTGCAACACTACTGAGATAGAAACAACATCATGGAGAGATAACGCATAGCGTCCAGGATTATCATTAGGCTAAACAAGCCACATGTAGGGTAAACCGATAGAAAGTTCTGCTCCCAATATGTGTGTCGCGATACTGCTCTTTATAATTCCTACAGAAATTAATCGGCTAGAGTATAGAGTATAGACACTAGTAGAAAACATGGCTTTGGTTCGCCCAGAAAAGAGCATTAATCCCGGTTGCATTACGAACCGGGACTAATGCGGCTAGGGCACCGTACAGTCATTAGTCCCGGTTCAAATGGGACCTTTAGTCCCGGTTGGTGCCACGAACCGGGACTAAAGGGTGCGATGCCCATTAGTACCGGTTCGTGGCACGAACTGGTACTAAAGGTTAGACCTTTAGTCCCGGTTTGAGCCATCAACCGGGACAAATGGGGTTGAGGCATTAGTACCGGTTCGTGTGACGAACCGGTATTAAAGGTAGACCTTTAGTATCGATTGGTGCCACGAACCGGTACT